CAGCTGCTGTAGTAGAGTCTTGGCAGAGGCACCGCTGTGCTACGACATGTCTTGCTCACACTTCTTTCAGGAGAGCCCCTGCGGCCTGACCTGCATAAATAACATTGATCGCGTCTAGGGTCGCACGACTGCTGATCAAGAAGCCTTCTAAACTTAACACTAGTTACAGTCGGAGGTACGGCTCCAGCCAGCCAGCAAGGCAATCACCTGCAGAATATCTCTAATGATCTGTAGAGGAATATCGACTTGAAGTGAGCAGCGCGATCCTAGGCACGTACGTCCACGCCTGTAGAGTCCAGCTGTCGAGGTGGGCCCCTAAGGTCCGGCCGAGAATCCCTGAACCGATTGGAGCCCGAATTCGTGAGTTCGACATCTTCAGTGAAAGTATCTACTGTATCTAGTCACAGAGATTGCACGTAGGGCCTGATGGCCTGGTGGGGTTTCCGGAATCAATCTGCGCCCCTCCGTGTATGTACAGTCCCACAGGCTGACACAGCTAGCATTTCGGATCATGACTCCGGCGACGGAGGAGGTCAGCCTCGCAGCTGATTATGGACCAGTAGCGTCTGAATTTCGGTCTTTAAATCCGCGGAAAGACGTTGCAGGAACATCGTTGGAGGTGTCAGGGTGAAATCCAACCAACGCGAATTCAGAGAACATGGCGGCTTCTAGACATCTCTCAGGAATTGTCAGATGAGATATTCTACAGTTTATATTCTTTAGATTATAAAGTTCTCCTGCCGCAAGGCCCAAACTGTCGAATTCCGAGTATGTGAACACGTTGCAAGGTTTGCTGCCGACAAAAACTGCACACCAGATCTTATCAAGCAGTTACTTCCGGAGACTGTGGCGGCAGCACGATCTGGAGCTGTTGTGGGAGCGCCACAAGCTCTGGCTCAATTCCAACACATCCACGCCGCAGAGAAACCGCTCCTGTGCACCGGTCAGTCCAGCCTGGATGAACGCAGGGGTTGAATCTATGTACCCTTCGCATGAAGGGCCGTGTTTGAGGACATATGGTTAGTGAAGACATGGACACGCGGGCTCAGAAGAGGGTTCAGAGAGTGTCGTAGCAAATTTCGAGGGCTTGAGAGGGGTTCGAATTGCTAGTCACACATGTTATGGACAAAGTAGGTAGGGTCCACAGGCATTTTGGTACTGTCCAATTGTTGGGTGGTTCTGCAACGTTTTTTGGGCAGCGCATCGGGTTGGAGCCCAGAAAGCTTTGGTATCTGGTGCTTCTGCTTCCGGGAGCCAACCGCACCCTAACTGGCAAAGCCAGCACGTGATCTGATTGAAGTGTACAGTTTCTGCCGTCATCGCGCGGCTGCAGAGGTCCAAAACCCTGTAGCTGCAAAGGGCAAGTGATCCAACACTTGCAACTCGCATTCCGAGAAGTACGAAGTCGGAGCATCGATGCAATCGCTGTTGCAAGTCTGATAGTAAGATAGCTATGGGTTGCAGGAGAGTGGAGAGTCGTTCTGGCTGCAGTTCATTAAACTCAGCTTTTGAGCTGTCGGGTTGGCCTAAGTATGTTCCGCTGCTAGGATTAAGATTACAAGTCAGTGTACTCTGTTATGAACAAGAACGAGACCCAATATCGTCGCAGAGCATGGAAGCCTCTCAAAGATGCAGGGCTTAAGCAAAACCCTAAACCCCAAAAGCCCTAAACGGTGGTGTTGTCATCCCTCGACCAAGCTGGACGTCTTGCGGTCACCAAAAGACACGAGGGTTCAACAAAAAAGCTAAACCCTAAACCAACACAGAAGCTTCCTTTGCTGATTGCTCGAGAAGCTCCGCTGCAACGAGCTGCAAGGACTCGGAGACCTGCATGGGCTTGTGTAACTTATTGATACGCTTTAAGGCTTATAGGGTTTTAGGGTTTACAAGGTTGAGGGTTTAGCTTTTTAGGGTTTAAGGTTTAGGGTCTAGGGTTTAAGGTTTAGGGTTTAATTAAGGGTTTAGGATAACCTTGTAAATTTGCAATCCCAATATGGAATGCTCTAGCTTTGTTCAAGCACTGATGTGGTAGATATCTGGGTCTGGCTGAAGTTCATGACTGCGGTGCTCCCGACCGCACAGGGGGCGCAGTCAGAACGGCGACATAACTACATTCGTCGTGTCGTGTCTTCAATTTTAGTTGCAGCCTGGAGCCCTCAAAACGTAAATCCTGGCAAACAGCTAGCGGCCAGAATTCAGGTTGCATGGCCTGAAGAGACAGCAACGTTTTAAAAGCTGCAGAATCCGAGCCCGGAGGTTTTGCCCCCAGCTCATCGCCAGATTTATTCGACTGGAGTGCGTGGAAGAAGTAGTGCAGACGACAAAGGGGAGCCTTGCTATAAGATGTCGCGGCCCTGAAGGCCACTCAGATCGCTCTCTTCACTCCTACGCATACGCTCCAACTCCCGGTGCCAGAGCCATCCCAGGGAAATCTAGAAATGTAGGTTTCCGAAAATTCCGGGTACCTTATTTTGGGGTCCTTACGATAAGGATCTTACTATTTAGGGTACTCTATTAGGGTCCCCGATTTTCAGAGATTCCCAAATTGTCGAGGAAGGTTTCAGAAAGTGTAGAGCAGGCTCACGAGTTCGAAGGTTACGAGCACATCCATTTGGAATTCCGCTTCGGTCCGTTACGATTTCCAAGACGGGTTAATAGCCTGAGTTGCTTTGTTGCAAGTTTGTCTTATCAATGGGAGAATCCTAAGACCCTAAGACTTGACGAGGCGCCTATGTTTAACAACATTAGCTACTATGATTTTGTTGTTATCATTCTATTACTATACTTTAAGCCGCCTGTTCGCCAGTCGCTGCAGCGATTGGGTCTCGTGGTGCGCGTCGCGACCCGAGTGGATCTGAGATCTGCGGCTATTGGCTCTTTGGATGTGCCGGCCTGGTACTGTGCCTATAGTCTCCATTGTAGTTCCTTTTTCTGGCTAACCAATTTTATGGTAAGGATCCTATAATCGAGTTTTTGGTTAACCAAAAACAGGAATTACAATGGAGACTATAGGTGCTTTTACAAAGATCAGATCACTGAGTGTTCTTGCACTTATTGGCATTGTTGTGACTATACTTCGGACAGGGATTGGCACGCGACACAGCAGGAGTATTGCGAATCGGAAGGCCTTTGCCCACTTCATGCCCGAGGCACCATCCAGAACATATAGCGAACCGCAGAAAGTTGGAACATGGGTTTCGGAGGATTATTGCAAGGATCCCTTGTACTTTACCTGAAGGGCATGAGGATACCAATGTTCCAACTTTCTGGCTTCTACTGGTACTATAGTCTGAAGCCAGACCCAACTTTCCAGACGGCAGGCCAAGGCCCGGCAGAGGGTTGTCTAATGCGACGTAGAACTACTATTTTGGAGGAACTCCCAAACATTTATTCTGTTTCTTTAGCGGCATCCATCCAGGTTTCCGACACCCACCGACACACACACACACCGATATATACACAACATCGTAAGCTGGAGCATGGGAATGTGATACCATCCGGTTGCGGCAAACTGCATCAAAATTCGGCACCAGCTGAGCTCTCTCGTCCCAGGTCGTGCCAGGCTTTGACCGGAAGGCCTTCCGTGAAGCAGGCGAAGAAGGAGGCAGCCCGAGAGTAAGGACAGCAAGGGCTTGTTAAAGCAACATCTGTCTGTACTGCGATTGTTGCTATTGCGTTGCTTTGTAATTTTGATTGTTATTGTTCTCATCTTTAAGGTCACCGCTATATTCCGCTATATGGTTGTTAGTACTGGGCTGTAACGCATGATGATTATTGTTGTTATCGAGGGTTTGGGTCCGCAGCCGGTCATTCGGCTTGTTCGGGAGAAGGATGTGCTTGGCTTAGCTTATGGAGATGTTTTTTTGATCAGGCCTTGACCGTCGACTTGACCCCAAAATGCTTGCGACTGGCAAATACAGTTTTACCTCTGACTCAAACCCCAGCCTGGGGTGGTTTTCAAGCAAAGTCGGAACGTAGTGTAGTATGATGACACAAAATGTACTTATAACAGAAGGAACAAGCCCACTCGACCTTGCCGCAGGTTCAGGAGGTGCTGGGACCTCAGAGATTCACTAGCATTCTGTGTTTGGCCTGCTTTCGGTTGAGGCTTAGCATTTCATTTTCGGCAGACTTACCAAGCCGGATAAGAGCTTTGGGTAGAAGATCGGCGCAGCCTTTGGACGACACTTAATTCTCTTCTACTGCTGGTCACCCTGTCCGGACCAGCCTTGCATTAGGACTTCTTTGAGGTGAGGTTGAAGCTGTCGGGTAGCAATTGAAGTCGGAGCGGCAATCATCGCCGTCGGTCATAGAGTTCGCGATAATCGGTCCTGTACGTGTTCTGTGCTGGTTGTCCTGAAACCAGCTATAGACGAACCTCTGCACGTGAAAATCGATTGTGGGCATTTCCGCACTCACACCCTGCAGAGCACCCTTGCACTGGACTTGTCTTCAGTCCCGCCAGACATGCGACAAGAAGCAAGGCCATCAAGGTAGGTTGACCCAAGATGAAGATGGACGTCGCCATGGAAGATATCGCAGCAATGCAGGGTCGGGCACGCTCCCTCCGGGACATTGCCAAACCAGTCTTCGTTCGGGCTCTAGAGACCTTAGAGCCAGCACAAGGTTGAAATACTCTATGTAGAGACTGAAACGCAAAAGCCTGTAAATTGAGCGAATGCTTAGAAGGTTCAAGAGCAGATCATCTAAGAAGCTAAGACTCCTGCCCCACAGTGCAAAGTGCAGCTCTTCCATGCTCGAATTCCGCTTGAGGCACCAGCGCTCTGCAACTTTCATTATAGACATGTCGAGAAGCCCAAAATGCTCCGGTTCGTAAACGATCACCTGTTTAGGTGCAGTTATACGGTGAGTTGCCGCGTGATCCTAAGATCACAACCTAGCCAATCAAATGCTGATGCTGAAGCTTCAGACTGGAGACCCGGTGTTCTTTGTAGGTTACGGCGGCCATGTGATGCAAGCCGCTCTCATCGGGCCAGCTGATGTTCCGTGCATGGAGCCGAATCTTCAGGCCGCTGGGTAGGGCAGCATCTACGACCGCCGAGGCCGCTCAGGTTGTCGAGAAGCCACGTGAGGCGGCGGCAGAGCGCTTGAATCGCACAGCGAATCGCCACGACCGCTCCTACCGGGCCATTTGTCCTTTCACCGTGCGTCGGACTTCCTCGGACAACTTGCCCGTATACGTCGTCAAGCGAAAGAATCGATCGGAGGACGTCACAATCGTCCGAAAAGTTCGTGGGGATCCGGAAGCTCTGAAGCGGGAGCTCGAGTTCCTCTGCCGAACGAAAGTCAGCTACGGAAAAAGTGGATTCCTGCAGCTCGTCGGCAACCATCGCCGAGCGATCAAAGAGTACCTCAAAAGCATCGGCTACTGAACTTCTTGTGTGAGCCGGTAAGCGTTCTCTAGATGAGCTTTAAGAAGAGGCGCATCCCTCGGACCCCGGAGGGAAAAGCCCCCTGGCCTGGCCAAGGCCTGCAGGACTCCCGCATTCAAAAAGTGGCTCGGTCATGGTTTCTTACCTGGGAGTTGCCGAACATTAGGGGTACCTTATTTTGGGGTTACTATTGATATTTGAGCCCAGTTCTGATGACTTCTCGCCAATTGCGAGAATGAGTGCCGAAATGCAAAATTTGCCCTACCCGAAACCCGAAACGCTAAACCCAACGACCCTGCCCTCGGTAGCTTCAGGGACTGAGTTAGTTTTCGTTGTTGCTTCGATTCCTACCACCAGGTTTCTAGGTGCTTTGTTTCCAGCACGGAAATCAACTTTGAATGCTTTAGCAGTAGTAAGCGTAGAAGTATTTGTAAACATATTAGTCACGCGAAGAACAGGCTAGACCCTGAAGGATGGACGAGCAAGTGAACGAATTGTCAAAGCATTCAATCCTCCCGTGTACTTGCGCCACAGAGAGACCACCAGTAATCTAGTCAAGAGTGTAAGCATTGCTGCAACACTGGTTGCGTAGCAATGGCTCTTAACAGATCTTACCCTTAATATACTGTACCCCCGTAAGATCCCTCTAGAACTGTACTATAATCACACACCCCTTTGGCACTGTCATAGTTGGGTAACATTTTACATTTATATAGGTACTTCAACCCAATAAGGAATAAACATGTACATGTCCCATCCCGACCATGAACCAGACACCCGAACTCTCACATTCCAATGATTGAGGCCCGTGCTAGGCTCTGGGCCCTAGTTCCCACTCCACAGGTAGTGAACCCTAAGCCCCAAACCGTCCAAACCCTCAAAGCCTTAAAGTCCTTGCGGAGTAGGAGGCCAAAACAACCCTAGGGATGTTGCAGACGGAAAAAGGAGCTTATACCCTAAACCCTAAACCCTATAAACAAAAAAGATATGCGAAAAGAAAGCCCTCAGGTCGATGCCTCGCCACCCAGCCCTGCCCGGCCAGACACTGGCTTCCCGCGGTCGTCCTGAGGGGACCCGTTTTTTCGCTTTTCAGATACAGGGAAGGTGGGGTTCGGAGACAGCCGTAAAGTCATGTTAAGTCGCCTGTAACATGTAAGGAGTGTATAGGGTTCGAAAGTTGTTTTGTGAGTCGGCTGGAAACTTAGCAGTTCGCAGTTTTGTTGCTGCAGAGGGCCCAGGCTCCAGATGCAAAGCATATCGCCGATCCTCATCCCCCCCATTATTATCACTATGCAATTCGTCGCCCTCCTTGCATCATCGCCATGTATTTGACCGCCATCGCTAGCATTGTAATCATTATCATCATCTCGCGACCATCCGTCAGCATCATCGTCAGGTCCACCACCAGCGCATGCAGCATTACTTGCATCATTCTCATCCGCACCGTCATCCGTTGTCATCTTCATCGTCACAATCTTCACCACCATGCCGCCATGTCGACGTAATCATGATCATCGTCGTCGTTTCATGGTCCATCGAACGATCGTGTCCTTCGCGGCCGTTTTATCGGACTAGTCACGATCTGTTTTGCTACGTGAAACTAAAACTACCACCATCGCCGTCGTCATCAGCGTCTCCTCAACTTCCTCGTCATGAACGCCACCATTGCCAGCATCAGCATCATCATTGTAACCAGCGCCATCATGTCCATCATCATCATCATCATATTCATATTCATCATCACCACCATGATCTTATCACTCGTCTTTGCCGCCGTCGTCGCTATCACCGTGCACAAGTGTGAGTGGATGTTGAGTGAGGTGTTGCCAAATGCTATTTATGCATTTAGGTGTTTACCAATGGTTGGGTACAGACCTCTGGTGTCAGTCTACACTTCCGGTGCCGATCCGCTGTGTGCCGACCGCTGTGCCACTGTTTGGTGCGGCTGCTTGGAACAAGGGAAGCTGCCGAAGCGCCACATGAAGCCCCGTGAGTCCCCAATAAGAGAGGAGGAGCTTGGTTTTGAGCACTGCCAGTCTTCCGGGTCTACTGATGCTGAAATGCAGCTACCCTTACCTGGTCTGTCCACGCTGCAGCCTGCAGCATCCGATTTTTCAGCCGGGCAGGATGCTGGAAAGCCATGCTGATTGCCCACCATGGGAAAGGTTTCCGGCCACGGCGAAAATTCCCGAATTTCCATGTGCGAATTTCCAGCATTTTTCCTGTGCTCACCGTCCAGATGGGCTGAAGCGACTGTGCGGAAACAGGGTGCTACTGCAACGGACGTGGATGGGACCTTTGACGGTCACGAAGCTCCAACTTCACAAGCCAAGGCTCTGTAAGCAGACGACCAGGTGAGTGAAATTTGCTTAAATTAAATTAGCCTCCTTTTTTTCACCCTGCTCCCCCCTCCCACTCAGCTTTCATAGCCTCCAGGCTGCCACGTTGTGAAAATTTGGTGGATTTGAAAGCAATGTAGGGTGAACAAGGTTTCAGCAAGCGGAATCACTGGATGCCTTCGAGTGACGCCTCTGGGGTCTATAGTGTAGCGGTAGGCCTCGAAAAGAAGAGACTTCGAAGCTCAGGCGCAGATCGATCTAGTCTGTTCTTTAGTCTAGCTGAGTCTATCCCTGTCCTCGTCCTGCCCCTGGTTATCGACCCAGAACAGCTCCGGCATGTCATTGGGATGCCAGGCAGCCTGCCCATGGCATCTGGAAGTAGAATCCGACAAAATCCGAAGTAGCCCATGAGACCTCAGCGCTCAAACGCTCGAGTGGCCTGAGCGAGGATGGCACTTTGGTTCAAGCCTCGGGCTGGAAGATAGAGATGTCCATCGAAGTGTTCGATAAGTACTTCCAGGCAAGGCTTTGCTTCAAGCTTTTGCTGTAGTGGTTTCTGTACTTCTGCCAGTATCGCAGATGCCCGAGAGTGTGCTTGCCCTGAGATTGCTGTTCCAGTTGTGTACTTTGTACGACGTAACACTTTGGGCCACCGGAGCGCCACGCACTATCTGAGTGCACCTATGTTTGCATGTCACATCATCCATCTCAGGTCCCCGGCTGGGTGTAAACTGTTCAACAGCAAGCCTGCGCTGACTAGATTTATTTCGAAACAACAGCCAGCCCCAATTGGCATGCATGGTGTCCAAGGGTGCTGAGAAGCCCGGACGATGAAATCTGCTCTTCAATCCTTGTTGATTGAACCAAGCTTGTTTTTCACCATTACTCCGCGGCCTGAGTCCCGTTTTCCTGTCAGGAGGGGCGGAAGATAGTTACCGTCAAGGATGTTGAGCCGGAGAAGTTTATCAAGGCTGCATCTACGGGGAAGGTTTGGCTTGCAGGCGAACTTGCGCTGCGGCACTTCTACTGCTTTTGCCGCCACTCGCCACTACCTTTTCTGCGATTGCTACTGTGATTAATCCTGCTGCTGCTGCCACTGCTGGTACTGCTGCTAAAAATTACAGAACCTGTTACTAACTACTACTACTACTACTATTACGACGACGACGACGACGGCCTGCTCCTGCTACTGCTACTGCTGCTACTGCCACTGCTGCTACTGCTACTGCTACTGCCGCGGCTGCTGCTGCTACTGCCACTGCCACTGCCACTCCTGCTCCTGCTCCTGCTGCTCCTGCTACCACTCCTGCCACGACGGCAACTGTTAATACTAGTGCTACTTGCAGTAATATATACTGCCAGTACCCACGCTGACACTTGTGCGACTGCGACGACGAGGAGGAGGAACATTTAGAGGCGAAGCTCGATGAAGCTCAGCGACCGACGACTACCAGAGACTCCAATATCCCTTAATTAAGGGATATTGGAGTCTCTCGTTACCAGCCAGGTGATCACAAGACCACCGTTGCCGCCACTCCTCCCACCACAGCTACACTGTCTTGACCTCGCTGAATCATCTCACCGAACCAGGCCTTCTCGCAGCACCTGAAGCGACAAGGACGCTTCGAGCTGCCGAAGTGGGCCGATGTTGTCAAAACCAGCAGCTTGCTTTGGGTTCGTGCTTTGGATATTAGGGCTTTGTACAGGGTGAGGATCGAGCTGCGGAGTTGTGCCCGGCTCTCTTTCATGAATCACCTTGAATGTGGGAGTGCCAGTCGGAAATTGTTGATTCCCGAAATTGTGTGTTTGGCCGACAGGGTATGGGAGACAATGCATATCAGGAGGCTGAATGCTATGTGTACTTGGAGATGCTGAGCAGGGACAGGATCTTGAAGCTTGAAAGTTCATCTTCGAGGGTGTCTACCGGGGAAGCCCACTGCAAGACCGTCGACCTAAACAAGCGATCTTCATCTGGATTCCCTAGACCAGACGCCATCATGCTAGCCTGAATTATTGCAGTCCTCATGACTACATCCTCGTCGAAAGCCAATTGTGTTGTTTACACATCTCTTTTTGGTCTGCACATAAGCCCAGGCCCAGGCCCCTGAACACCGGAGGGTATGCCCGCAAGGTAAGGCCAAAGAGCTGCCGCCTATGGATCCGGCCTTTCGGCACGATTTCGCCCGCCAGGGGGTTGAGAGGTGCCTGCTTCAAGTGTCAATCGTGCAGATAAAGGTAGGCACCAGAAATTCTCATCAACCCCTTCAGGGTCCGTTCAAGCATTAGGACAGGCGATCAACTGTTGCTCCAACCCTTAATTTCGAAGCAGCATGAGTCGAATGGACGTCACCGACATAGCTACTAGTTACTGGTTTCTGACTACTTGTAGTGTTCCTAAACCCTAAAACCGCCCCCGCATTAACATCCTCAACCGGGTGGAGACGAAGCCCAGGACTGGCTCTACGTCAGAACTGCCTCCATGGTCCGTCGCCCTTACGGTGGAAGCATTAAGTCATTTTGGTGTTATATTATTATAGTATTTCAGTATTATAGTATTAGGTGTTTTATTATACGACTGGGCTGCCCGGATTTAGGATTGAAAGTTACGGGGGTTGAGGGTATTGTGTGTGAGCAGCCAGAAGGCAGGCTGAGTGAGCTGGTGAAGAAAGTAAGTGTGTGTGTGTGTGTGTTTGTGTTTTTGCTGAAGATTCCAACCTGCTAGCGGCGGTGCCGGTGGTGATGACGATGACGACTACGATGAGAATAATGATTAATATTATGATCGCACGCAGTGGTGGTGATCATGATGATGGCGGTGATCAGATGAGGACGAGGATACTGTCGATGACGATTGTCATGGAAGCATTGTTGTTGACGAGGATGATGATGATGATGATGATTATGATGATGATGTTTTTGTTGTTGTTGTTGTTGTTGTTGTTGTTGTTGTTGTTGTTGTTGTTGTTGTTGTTGTTGTTGTTGTTGTTGTTGTTGTTGGTGGTGGTGGTGGTGGTGGTGGTGGTGGTGGTGGTGGTGGTGGTGGTGGTGGTGGTGGTGGTGGTGTTGTTGATGATGATAGCAGCGCTGTTGACTGCAATGGTTTGACCATGATGATGCTAAGGATGATGATGGTTGATGACGATGACGGTGATGATTGCGACGGCCGTTATGATTATCATGACCATGGCGATGATAACGATGGCAATGGTTGCTGCTGCTGATTGTGGTGATTGCGGCCTGGTTGTGCTTAGCATCGTCCCAGCCCCAGCTGCAAGCCATAGAGTGACACCCACGCTGTCGATGCTGCTGTGACTTCTGCCAAAAGACGGGTAATGTTGCAGAGCCCAAATACCTGAGATGAGGTCCGAAAGATTTACATCCGCAAGGGCATGGGTGTTGGAGCCTTCAAGAAGGCGCAGACTTCGAGTCTCAGGCTTCCATGATGCCTACTCGTAGTGTGGAGTGTATAAGGCTTTGGGTTTGTAGGGTTTCAAGTTTTTTCCCGGCAGCAAGGAGACCCGGATGCAAAAAGCTTGTGAGTCTTTGGACGTTTTTTGGCTGATGGTGCGCGCGATCTCACAGGTCTACGGTGGGCAGAAGCGCCGAGGCGGCTCGGGGCTAGCACCGCCTAGGCCGAAGAAGCCCCGCAAGGTGAAATAACCCTCTGCGGTAGCCCGCAATAATGGTCTTTAACCTCACAGCCTCGAGGCTGGGTCGTAAGCCACCCTTTATGATGTTTGCGAAATCGTCTCAGTCAGGCAAGGTCGCTAAAGCCTGAGTCCGAGAGTGCAGGTGGCGATTCGTGGCAACTCAACGAAGGCACTCCAAATTTTGCCGCCGCGTGTTTTCGGCTCGAGGCCGCAGATGTCCAGCCCAAGACTAACAACACAAAAACAAGTCCAACTCACAGACTTCGGGGGCTCAGCCCATACCTACAGAACCCAATCATCAAACCCAGCATACCACCCAAAGAGAAAAATGTGCCCACATCGGAATTGAGGGCTCGCAGGTTCGAAGGTATTGGGATGAGAAAGGGTCCAGGATGAATAGCTTGGGTTCCAGCCTCAGTGTTGCAGGCCAAAAGTAAAAACATGGTGATTGGACAGACAGAAATGGAAGAGCGTTCTGAGATGGTACACACAGCATTGAAAACACACTTTGGCAGCCAACTCGCCTTTCCACGGAATCAACTAGACAATGACAAGTATTCAGCTCATGCGTTGTCATCTAGTAGTGTTCGAGCTTCTATGTTTTCGCCAGACCCGAATGCAACATCAGAATTTGTGCACCGTTTGCTCGCCAAGCATGGGCGCCTATATGCCCAGCCGCTGCAAATGTCACCAGTCCGTTGACTTGGTCCGGGACTGCCCCTCTTGATTCCTCAAGTAGGAGCAGAAGCTATCTGCGGCTAACCAGATGCAGCCGCGAAAGGCGGTCCCCTCAACATGGTGGGATGGAAGTCCCGGGGACGGGGAGCCTTGTCAATGCTGCTTTCGTCGACTTGGCGACTCAAGAGACACAGATCCCAACAACTACTTGGGATTCCATCCGCCTATCGCCGTCGGGTTGTTTTCGTTCTAAACGCCCGAACAACTCCCACGCAGCAGGGACTAAGCATAGACGGCGGTTTCAACCCCGACCCCGAAGACTCCCAGCCCGAAAGGCACTGATCCCTTGCGAGGCCCCTAGACAGGTCAGGCCTCCTCGGTCTCATTACACAATAATTACCAATAGTACTATTTTGAGGGCTCCTTATTTGTATTTTAGCATAATGGGATGCAGCGAAGGGTCAAAGAGGCTTGAAATTGGATGGCTTGGTGATTGTTCGAGAGTCTTGGTGCGAGATTTTCGGGTTATCAGGTCTTAGCTTGCTAAACACCACCCCGTATGTTGGCCCCATTAAGTCCCTTTGAAGTGCCGGAGAGAACTCCAGGGTGTGTCCAAGGCCCCACGGTCGAAGCTCGAGCCGTTCCGTGCTTCTGCACTGCTTAGTCATATCCCAAGGAAGCACAACCCAAGACCTAGCGCACATCGCCATGTTTTCGCATCATATAGTCCCTCTGGCATTAGACGATGTAAAATGATTAAGAGGCCGCCCCCCAACTGTCCCCATAAGCCTAGTCTAAACTCGCTAAGGCCCCCTGATACCAGGGCCTTGAATTCCAATGCCTCAAAGGCGATGACCCAAACGACTCGAGTCGTACAGCTGCCCAGGCTCCGGGACACCATTGGATTACATGAAGTTATTCACTATGTTAAGTTGTGTTATGTCATACTAGTTATGTTGTAAGATGTCATGTGATATTATGGTAAGTTTGTGCTATGTTATGCTATACTCTGCTAAGTAGTGTTATGCTCTACTATGGTGCATTATGTTATTCCGGGCGATTCCCACTTTTCCTGGGGCTGTTAAGTTTCGTCCGGGTTGGGGTTACGAGGTGGTTGACTGTGGAGAGCCTTGGAGCCAGAGCGGCTCGGTGTGATAAGTTGGAGCTGAGGGCGGTCGCGGCTGTAGGTTTTCGGAGGGGGAGAATGCGCGGATCCTGTCATGGCCTTGCATGCCCTCGTGGCCTATACTATATTGGAGGTTCAATGTTATAAATATAGTATACTGGGCCACAGAGCCCTATTGAAATTTCTAAGGCCCCTATATTACCAAAGATCTAAATATGATGAGCCCATCCTGGCCTGAAGTAGCGTTGGATCGCTTCAGAACTTCAGGTGTCGGTCGACACCGTCGAATTCTGGGAAGACTACGGCCAAGCAGAGGCCCCGGATGTTCTCGCGGCCCTCCAAGGGACGTGGTACACGAAGGACGGACTGTGTCACGTGTTCAAACACTTGCTCTGAATTTTGGGTTGTAACGTGCAACCAGTGTCGGGATGTTCGGATTCCACACTCGAACGGTTCTTCAGATCAACGATATAGAAGTCTAGATTGCAGTCGAGGGATACATTCAAGCCGAATGCCGAAAGCCTTGAAAGCCTTACTCTAGGGGCCTCAATATTCGGCTATACTAATTACTTTGGGGGTTCCTTTTATTTTAATGACAGTATAGTGGGCCCCAAAACCCTATTCTACTTATAAAAATCCCTATAGTATCCACTTTCAGAGGACGGTGGGTATCGAATCGGTGAGCTTTGTGGCCGAAGCATCCTCTGGGATGTCTCGTGGAACATGCGTCCACCCATTGCCGTCCTGACCCTTCTGACGCCAAGTACAGTGAGCCCCGCGGAGTGCATTCAGAGCATGGCAGGGCACGGTCTTTCCTTCTTTTTGGAGTTACGTTAGGGTTTAGGGTTGCTTCGGACGAGCTCCCTGCGGTGCGACATTGTCAGCTGGGCGCGTGGGATAAAAAGGGTTCAGGGTTTAGGGTTTAGAGTTCAGGGTGGCGTCCCGTTCGAATTCAGGGCACTCATTCCCTAGGCCCTAGGCTCATTTATATGACGAATCACTGCCCGCAGTAGTGAAGCCTCATGTTTGTATGTAGCCACATTGGACTGCATGCCTTTGGTGTTATGCCCAGTATTGCAGACCATTACATACACATAAGATACATTATGTATCGTAATATACATATGCGCGTGTACATATGCTTTAGTGCACCTGCAGGCCTACAGCTGGACAATGTCACGCTCCCTGGCCAGGCAAACAGGAAGGCTAGCAAAGATTGCGGTGCCTTAGAGTGTCCTGTGAGGCCTTGGTTTTGTAGAGAATGTGGTTTGTTTGGTGGTGCCAAGATCTGAAAGCTTAGGTTTCCTAGAGTGTTGTTGTTGCACCGTGCTCCGTATGCTTGTCACTTCCGAAGGCACCCGACGGGCCTGATCCGTCGCTGAATGATTTAATTGAGGTGTTCAGGCTCGTGGGGCTTTTAG